TGCCAAAACAAAAGCATTCACATTGCTAAAATCACAAACTAGTATTTAGTCACTTAGCCATAATACCAACTTACCTCATAATTTGTAATATTTTAAAATAAAGAATTAAACTAAGTCTGCCCGAAATGCCTAGCCATGCTAGGCGTTCTAGTGGTACACTCTGTAATCATTATTTAACTACATGTAAACCACACAACAACCAAATTCTGTAAATTCAACATTGTAATCTTTATAGAGAATAAACTTTGAATTGAATTGAATTGAATAGGTGAACCTACTCACTGCTAGGTGAAGCTACTTACTGCTAGGTGAACCTATTTACTGCTAGGTGAAGCTACTTACCGCTAGGTGAACCTACTTACTGTTAGGTGAACCTACTTACTGCTAGGTGAACCTATTTACTGCTAGGTGAATATATATCGTTGAACGCTATTAGACTTTCGAAGGGTAACTCTAAATAATTTTCTGTAAAATCTTATGAAAGAAAACGGCAATTTAGAAGCATAAACTACAAAATAATAGTTTACCTGGTATATTCATTGAGGTAAGATAAGATAGAAGAAGATTTTGTTCGGATTTTTAACCCAGGAGGATTAGCCACCCAGGATAACCCAAGAAAGTCGGTGTGTCATTGAGGACTGTGTCTTATTTCCACTGGAGTCCGTCAATCATGTCCCCCAGGATGCCACTCACACCCACACCCAGGTACCCAGGCAACAGGTGTATGGAAACACGCCCAATGTTTCTACCAATGCCGGGAATCGAACCACGGACACTCAGTGTGTGTGGCGAGTATGTCGCCTTCCAGGCCACGGGTCACGTTAATTTTAGATGTTTACAATTGTCTTACATAGTAATTTGTAAATTATCTAAGAAAAGAGATAAGATAAAAGATAAAACAATAACCAACGTTACTTGTTTCCACTTTTTTAAACACATTGAATTTACAGACCAGGAGCTGCTATCTAACATCATCACATTTCCGGAGCCTAGCCTGCTGAAGCTACTACACTCTCCAAGATACCAGCAGTCCTTTAAGTAAGTAAGTAAGTTTATTTAGGTATACACAAATACAGTTACATAGAATTATCATACATAGCAGCATATGTGTAGAGAACCTGGGATAACCCAAAAAAGTCAGACAGAGTGACTTATTTCCAGCAGCACACTCAGCTCGCAAACTGAGGTCCGTGGTTCGATCCCCGGTACAGGTGAAAACACTGGATGCGTTTCCTTAAGACACCTGTTGTTCCTGTTCACCAACTAGTGTGGATCTGTATAAGTTGCATCATGTACTTATAAAAATGAAGATCATTATAAGTAACACTGAAGTATTTACTACTAGAAGACACAGGGTAACGCAAGGACTCCGAGAGTAATAGCTAAGTGTATTTAGATTATTCTAAGTTAAGATAAGATAAGATTTCGTTCGGATTTTTAACCCCGGAGGGTTAGCCACCCAGGATAACCCAAGAAAGTCAGTGCGTCATCGAGGACTGTCTAACTTATTTCCATTGGGGTCCTTAATCTTGTCCCCCAGGATGCGACCCACACCAGTCGACTAACAGCCAGGTACCTATTTGCTGCTAGGTGAACAGGACAACAGGTGTAAGGAAACGTGTCGAATGTTTCCACCCGCCGGGAATCGAACCCGGGCCCTCCGTGTGTGAAGCGGGAGCTTTAGCCACCAGGCCACCGGGCCACCTAAATTTACACGTAGGTAATTATATGGGAAAACGGTAGAAAAATCATTTCGTGTATATCCCTGGAGTATCCCTGGAGTATCCCTGGAGTATCCCTGGAGTATCCCTGGAGAAGGTTTCGGGGGTAAACGCCCCCGCGGCCCGGTCTGTGACCAGGCCTCGCGGTATACTGAATCTGAATATAAAAAATCCTCATTCAGCTCAAGATCAGGCTCTTGGACCTACTAGCGACCAGTGAAGGGGCGGGGCCAGGAGCTATGACTCAACCCCTGCAACCACAATTAGGAGAGTACCGTAGTACATAAATGCAATATAATACCGACAAGATGAAGAATTAGACACAAGCGCAATATCTGGATATATTGTATACGTTTCGCCCACCATTGGCTTTATCAATACAATACAAAGACATGTTAAATTAGACACATGTGCAACTCTTGGGTATCTTTATTGAGGAAACGTTTCGCCACACAGTGGCTTCATCAGTCCATACAAAGGATAAACTTGAAGAACAGGAGGAGAATGAGGTAATCAGTCCCTCAACCTTGAGTCGATGTGGTCAGTCCATCAATCTTGAATAGAATACGGCATATCAATCCTGTCAGACACTGCAACTTCTTGGGATCTTAATACTTGGGAATTTTTCGCTTGCCTAACCCTTGGGCACGACCTACTTCCACATTGAACAAATGTGACGCCACCTACGACTGCTGCACCTCTCCTGCCTACGGTTTATAAGCTCCTTCTCCGCACATATGCTGCATTCTATTCAAGATTGATGGACTGACCACATCGACTCAAGGTTGAGGGACTGATTACCTCATTCTCCTCCTGTTCTTCAAGTTTCTCCTTTGTATGGATTGATGAAGCCACAGTGTGGCGAAAAGTTTTCTCAATAAAGATACCCAGATGTTGCACATGTGTCTAATTCTTCATATAAGCCCCATGTGGTGTATGTGTCTGAGGATTGACTTTCATGCCTATTTTAGGGATTAACGTAATTTTGTCTGGGGGTGTGAAGGTTACGTGTTGCCTTAATGACCCTCGTGTAGTCAATAGGCTTTAAACCTTTTTAACCAACCTCACCTGAGATTTGAGCCCGGGTTCGTTGGTTGTGAGTCTTTAAGAAGCCTAGTAGCAGCAACGGGACACTATAGACTAATGTGCAGTCGGGGGGATTTGTTAGTTCCTGACACCTACAGCACCTAGGGAATAAAACTGTACGTAGCATTTCCTCCACAATTTTCATTCCACCATATTCAACATAAGAACATAAGCAGGTCCATGTCCCTCCCCCCCCGGATAAGCCGAATGACCCCCCCCCGGATTAGCTCAATGACCCACCCAGTCTGGTCACCTCCACTTAAGGAAGGAGCACGGCACAAGACCCAGCAGCACAAGCTAGTCAGGTCCAACTCACCCACCCACACCCACTCATGTATTTATCTAACCTATTTTTAAAACTTTACAACGTTTTAACCTGAATAACTGTACTCGGGAGTTTGTTCCACTCATCCACAACTATTACCAAACCAGTGCTTTCCTATATCCTTCCTGAATCTGAATTTTTCCAAATTGAAACCATTGCTGCGAGTCCTGTCTTGGTTGGAAATTTTCAGCACGCTATTTACATCCCATTTATTTATTCCTGTTTTCTATTTATACACCTCTATCATATTCCCCTAATTCTACGCCTTTCGAGAGAGTGCAGATTCAGGGTCCTCAGTCTATCCTCATAGGGAAGATTTCTGATACATGGGATCATCTTTGTCATCCTCCTCTGCACGTTTTCCAGTGCATTTATATCCATTCTGTAATACGGTGACCAGAACTGAACAGCATAGTCTAAATGAGGCCTAACCAAGGATATATAGAGTTGAAGAACAACCTGAGGACTTCTATTGTTTATACTTCTAGATATGAAGCCAAGAATCCTGTTAACTTTTTTTGCGAACACTAATGCACTGTTGTCTTGATTTTAGATTATCGCTAACTAGAACTCCTAAATCCTTTTCGCAATCAGTAGTATTAAGATATTGTAGCATTAAGAAGTATTTCCTAACATCTCTATGGGTCTTCTGGTCCTGCAACCGAGTGCTTTGACTGTGAGGGGGGCTCTTGATCCCAAGAAGTGGAATTACCCTTCACTTTTTTGGATCAGAGTCCCATTCCACAGCAATACTAGATAAGATAAGATAAGATTTCGTTCGGATTTTTAATCCCCGGAGGGTTAGCCACCCAGGATAACCCAAGAAAGTCAGTGCGTCATCGAGGACTGTCTAACTTATTTCCATTGGGGTCCTTAATCTTGTCCCCCAGGATGCGACCCACACCAGTCGACTAACACCCAGGTACCTATTTGCTGCTAGGTGAACAGGACAACAGGTGTAAGGAAACGTGTCGAAATGTTTCCACCCGCCGGGAATCGAACCCGGGCCCTCCGTGTGTGAAGCGGGAGCTTTAGCCACCAGGCTTAACAGCAACAGCCAGCACAACCACAGCAACAATCTGGCTCATCTGGTTCTCAGCTTCTACGTTATGCTACCTTGCTCTTGCACGCTAGACAGATGTAGAGACGAGTCTCCTTACACTTGCAGCCCTGTTCGTATATCTTTAGATACGTAGGTGATAGTTCCTTTTACACTTGCTGCTCTTTTTAACCTAGTTAAGCTCACAGAAAATAAATGCCTGGGTATTAGTTCTACATATATTTTGTGTACTCACCCGTTTGCGGTTGCACGGGTAGAGCCGCTCCTGCCACCCGCCTCTTCGCTGTATGTGTTTATATGTGTATTTGAATGCAAACATTTGAACACCTGAAACTGTGTGATACGAGGAGAAGGAACAGATATGTGAACACCTCTATGAGTGCTTGAAGATATAAAATTTGCAGACATTTATATATAAATATATAATTATAATATAAACTGTGTAGAATGGAGATTATATATGAGTTTTTTTCTCTTACACTCTTACATATTTATTAAATCTAGAGTGAGGC